AAGTGTGATATGTTATTTCTCGGTGGTATCTCGCCCTAGATTGGCACGAGAAATTGAACATAAATTACGCTCGAGGTACAACGAGAAAGCACCCGAGAGAATTGTGAAGCTATATAATTTCTCGGGGCGAGATCTCGACCTAGAATTCTTCCAGAATTTTAACAGAACATTGCCTGACCTTTTTTTTTTCCTTTGTCATTTTAAATTTGCATATGTTTTGTATGGCTATGATATTGAATTGTTTTTTTACTTATATTCAGGTTTAAAGTATGGAATTGAGACAGAAAATTGACCCTGCAATCTATGCATCTGCAAACGTGTCCTGTTTATCGCATCTAGCGAAAACAGTGACTGCTATTAAGGGAAAATTGGCCCCTAGACAGCTAGCCATGTTTAGRAAAACCATATTCGGTCATTTGCTAGACGTCGACCTCGTTTTTAACGGGCCATTGGTACACAATATATTACTTAGGGAGGTTGAAGATAGTACAGTGGACAGTATTAGTTTCAACCTGTTTGGGAGGAAGGTGTCGTTTGGACGGAGGGAGTTTGACCTTATTAGTGGCCTTAAGTATGACAGGAGCCTAGTTAGGAAAGATACTCATGTTCATAGACTTAGGCCCTGTACTTTAACGATAGGTCTGACCTTGTCTTGAGTGATTTAGAAGACCTATATGAAGCCGCCCAGTTTCAGGATGACTTCGATGCGGTTAAGGTATCCATTGTTTACATGGTCGAAATGGTCTTGCTAGGGAGGGAGAGAACTGTGAAGTTCGACCAGACGCTGTTAGGAATAGTGGATGATTGGGAGGTCTGCTGCAACTACGACTGAGAAGACGATAGGTAGTCTTCGTCGTGGCCCAACCAAGATGGCAAAGGATGGAGGGTTGAGGAAATCATATAGCCTGTATGGTTTCCCCTGGGTGTTCAAGGTATGAACATAAATACATTTCCAATATTTATGGATCGTTTTCATCGGTTATGGTTTATAATGTGACTATCTTTTTTAAATAGGTGTGGGCGTACGAGGTGATATCTTCCCTATCTAGCGGGGTCGCAAATAAAGTTTTCGAGGATGCAGTGCCACGTATCCTCCGGTGGAGGTGTGGCCATTCGACTGCATGGCATGTGCTCGACTGGGAGATTTTTCGGTCTAGTACGGATCCCTCCTGAGCAGGTCACCAAGTTCCACAATTGGATGAGTAGCCCTACCACGAAGCATGCGAAGAGGAAATCGTGCTATGTTAAGAAGGACAAGACGTGGTTTTGTGACCTTTTAACGTTGGACAAGTGGCTGACCAGCGAGGTACGGAATCAAAACTATACTACTAATTTATAGCGTTGTTTTCATGTGTGTAACAATATTGGTACGCACAGGTAATCGATTCGTTGGTCATGTTCACACGAAACAAGCTGGAGTAGCGTCCCGACTTGTGCTCTAGGAGGTTCACGACTGGTGACATATTGCTTGCAGTATGCTTTTATGTAGTATTATAAGTTTTGCGTAGTATTATAGGTTTTGACCATGATCTAATCATGTTCTATTATCAACTGTAGAACTTCTTCCGCCGGACCGATGGTATATACCAGAGATTGATCGCCCCCAATGCCGTTCCAGCAATAGTGTCGGCCGAATATGACTGGGAGAGTCGATACAAAACGATCATGAGCTATGTCGACGGCACTCACACAGACTATGGGACACGGTGGCTGGACCTCGACGCTGTATACTTGCCGTACAACATCGGTGGAAATCATTGGATCACGGTTTGCATCGACATGCAAGAGGGTGAGATCATCGTATGGGATTCTATGATGTCAATCACAACACCGGCTACTCTGGAGGAGGAGTTGAAGCCGATGAGCGTCATTCTCCCAGCATTGATGTGCAGAGCCGGAGTTAGGGTTTTGAGGCCTACCATACCCACTGTACCATGGCGCATCCGTCGAGTAACCGGGGCTCCACAGCAGACTGGTTCAGGTGATTGTGGTATTTTTTGTGTTAAGTTTTTTGAGTACGATGTAATGGGTTCCAATCTTGCGACTCTAACTCAAGAGAGGATCCCATTTTTTTGTGAGAAACTCGCCATTGAAGTATGGGCGAACCGGTGTATTTTTTGACCTACATTAATTTTATAAATCGATGCAATAGTTTGTTCATAATTAAAATTACAAACGAAAAAAAAATTATACAAAAGCTAGCGGTGCAAATGTGCAAGTTCATAGGTGAAAACAAACATATTCTAAAAAATAAATATCACCTACCTTGTTGATGTATAAAAATATCACTTTCAGATGGAAAAGTCAGAGGTAATTTGCAGGTACGTAGTTCTTTTTGTTCTCTCAGAGCTGAGTACAAGATGAACTGATGAAAATTAAAGTCCTTCGTGGGAATATTTGTTAAATATGCGAGTTAGGTGTTTTCCTTAATTGAAAAACTTCAATTTTCGATCAAGACAGATGCATTTCACGGACGTGAAATTAATGTAGGTTAACAAATTCTCTACATTTCTCGCCCGTGAAATTTTCGATCTCGCTCGAGAATTCAGTCGTTTTTTCAGGGGTAGTTGGGTACATTTACTTCCACTGACGCGTCAGAAAAAGTACTAATTGGTTATTAGAAACATTTTTTTAGGGGTGAGTCATTGAGCAAAAAGTTTTTCTGCAATTCGCCGGCTTTTTCAAGTCTTCGATCTGGATATTACGGAAAGTCTGGCTGTGAACGAGGGATTATCGCTGGCTTTTGATGCAGGTTTCTTTCCGATTCAACTCGAGACCGATTTGCTTCGGGTGTTCCAACTATTGTGCAGAGAGCTTGAGGATGAGTATCAGGTCTTACCTTGTTGATTTTCGGTTTGTTCATCGTGAGGGTAACTCTGTCGCACACCAACTTGCACAGCTGGCAAAGGGTTGCGATCTGTCGACTGTTTGGATGGAAAGCTGCCCTTCTGAAGTTTCTGATTATCTGGCATTTGATATTTCTGTTTTGTTGCTTTAGTTTTGCGTTTTTAGTTGTATTGAAAAAATCATTTTTTTAAACTTTATTTATTGGTTTTACCTTAAAATTGTATTTTATATATATAACTCAGGTGTAAAAGTTGAATTCATAAAAAGATAAAAATATTTATTTTATATGGAGAATCATTTACCTTCGACAAATTTAATTAATTCAATTTTGTATTTCTATTTACATATTCTTCAAGATGGTAGGCTAGAGTGATGAGGAAAACTAAGTTTTCTGTAGTATTTGTTGGTCGTAAATCCATATATCTATTATGAATACCATAGAGAAGTCAATGAATTTAGTGAGCAGTTCACGAGTCGTCCTATGTGACTTTTGAGGAAGTATAGTACACATATAGGAAAAATATAAATTGGTGACAAGTGGTTAGTTGCCTACGATTAGCCTAAACATATTAGATGCAACATGCCTTCCATGGAAAGTACTCATATAGGAAGACCTCATAGTATTATATTCACCTACTAATAGGGTTCGTTGTTGGGATGATCATAATGTTTATAGGAATTAATTTAGTAGTATGTAGAGTGATTAGTCACGTTGTACGTAACAATGCATGAGAGTAAACAACAAATGACATACTCGTGACTATATTTTGTCTTTCAGGACGTATACTAGTCCAATTAATTATCATGAGAATCAACGAACTGATTGCCATATTGACCGTCATTGGCACCACCCAACGTCAGTTATTGCTAATATTAGAATAGTTAAGTAATGACCACCAAATGATAGAAAACCAGTCACCTTATCTTAGGCATCAAATTAGGCAATTGAATTTCTTTTGACTCATACATGACGATGATACATCTTGCCATGAGAGTACGAGGATGGATAGAAGATGTTTTACCATACTTTGTACCATGCTTGAATAATAGGTGGTTTGGTACTGACCCAATATGTTTATATAGAGGATATGGTAGCTATTTTTTTGCATATCTTAGCTCACGATGTTAAGAACCGAGTAGTTCGTAAACAATTTGCAAGATCTAGTGAGACAATTTCTAGGCATTTCAACAAGGTCCTTAACGCGGTTTTGTAACTCTATACTGTTCTGTTGAAAAAACCTGAGCCAATCACAAACTCATGTACAGATGAAAAATGGAAATGGTTTGAGATATAACTTATATATCAATAGTTTAGGCTAAAACGTGTTACAATGATCAAATTTAGTTACGATGTCTTGTCTTGCAACATAATTGTTTGGGCGCATTAGATGACATGTATATCAAGGTCAATGTAAGTGTTGTAGATTGCCCACGATATAGGACGAGAAAGGGTGATATTGCAACAAATGTGGTTGCTGTGTGTGCCCTAAATGGAGAATTCATATTCGTCATGTCAGGATGGGAAGGGTCTGCTGCTGATTCCAGAGTGCTTCGCGATGCAATGTCACGCCCTAATGGGTTGAAAGTTCCCAAGGGTAACAAAATTAGTATTTGGTCATATTCATTTGGATACAATGCACATAAAGTTGGAGATTAAAAAAATGCTAAATTATACGGGATATTATTATCTATGTGATGCTGGGTACCCTAATGCCGAGGAATTCCTAGCGCTGTATAGAGGAGAATGATACCATCTAGTCGAATGGCATGGAGGAGGGAACGCACCGACAAGTCCTAGAGAGTTTTTTTTTTAACATGAAGCATTCTTCTACAAGGAATGTTATTGAAAGGGCGTTCAGTGTGTTAAAAGGGAGATGGGCAATTCTTCGAGGAAAATCCATCTACCTTGTTCAAGTCCAATGTCGAACAATAACGACATGTTGCCTTATTCACAACCTTATTATTAGAGAGATGAGTTCAGATACAACAATGGAAAAATTGGGGGAGGTACACTCAGAATCAAATGACACTGATGAAGATAATATAACTTTCATTGAAAGTTCAAACCAATGGACTCAATGGAGGGATGATTTGGCTCACCGAATGTTTGCTGAATGGGAAAATTCATGATGAGTGAAGTTTTTAATTTATGTTATTTTTGGTATTGAATACCACCTGTAATTTATTTGTCGCTTATCATTATATTTATGTTGTTGTTATTATCGTATTATTGGAACAAATTCAACGAAATGGGTTGCATTAGTTTTTGGACATCCTATCTCATTTACTTGTTACAACATTTACTGGCAATTGGAATTACATCTTAAACTAACATTGTTTCGATATACGTATGTGTGTAGAGAAATTACAGGTGAAGATAAATTAAGAAAACACACTTGGACAAAGGTTGAGGACATGAAATTGATGGAGTGCCTTATAATGTTAGTTCAAGGAGGTGGATGGAGATCAGATAATGACACATTCAGGCCTCAATATTTACAACAACTAGATAGAATGATGAAGGAGAAAATACCTGGATATACTATTAGAGAAAAATTGAAGAGACAGTACAACGCAATTGCAGAGATGTGCCCATCATGTAGTGGGTTTGGGTGGAATGAAGAACAAAGTGTATTGAGGTAGAGAAGGAAGTATTTGATGACTGGATTAAGGTATGAATATTTTCTTCTAAGAGTTATTAGACATAAGTGTATAGTATATTTTATTTAATTTGCAGTCTCATCGCAATGTAAAAGGACTTCCTAACAAGCCACTCCCACACTACGATGACTTAGCAGTTGTTTTTGGTAAGGACAGAGCGAGGGGGACAAATTCAGAGTGTCCGGTAGACATGGCATCGAGTGCTACAGCAGCTGTTGCCGAAGATGTGCATTTCAAAGCTCAAGATTTCTACATCTCAGACCCACCAATATTCAACACCATAGAGGACACGATGGAGGAGGTCTTGCCAAATATGCCTATAAGTAAACCAACTGTTGCAGGAACGTCATCAAGGGGAAGCAAGAGGAAATGAAGTGGTTATAAATAAAAATAGTAGATGTGGTCCGAACAAATATGACCATGCAAACAACCCATTTGGAGAAGATTGCAACGTGGCCAGATAAAAAGGAAGGGAAAAAAAGTTCGACGCGAGATAGTACATGACCAGCTGAAACAAATACCAGACTTGGAGGCTAATGATTATGTCCTACTTATCGATATTTTAATGATTGATGCTAAGAAGTAGAAGTCCATCAATTTCCTTGAGGTCCCAATGAAGATGTTTTACATGCATTGCTGGGAAAGAGCGAATAATGTCCCCCTACAACGACCCCCTTGCAACAACCTTGTTTTAAATATATATTTTGGTGGGTAGTATGTCTTTTTCTCCCTTGAATTATGGATTAACCCTTTGTTGGCAATTGAAGTTTGTTGTAAAGGATTACTTTTTGAATTCATAGTTTGTTGTAAAGGATTACTTTTGAATTCATATGTTCATAACCTTTTCAAATTATTATGCTTAATGTAAGTTTCTATTCATATACATATGCCTTATTTTGTCTAATTTAATCAAAATAGGTATTTAAATAAAATTTTGAAATATAAATACATCTCCAAAAATTAATGTCTCAATTTTAGAGTTAATGAGAATAAATATCTATTCGTTCAAATTAAAATTTATTAGAATCTAACAAGAATTGTACCGTACAACACGAGTTTTGTACGAGTTTATAACTCCTGGTTAAAGAATTCCAAACTTAACAAATTTGTACCCAAAAACAGACTTCATAATTCATTAAATAACTTTACACCCCAAACACAGACTTAACTCCAGACTACTTAATAATTATTCCCTAAATTAAACAAGTCAAGACTTAATAACTTCACTCCTTGCCCACACACCCCCTTAAATATTGTTCAGTGTTTATCAATTACCATCAATCTTTTGTTAACCTCATTAAATTTTTGATGTGCAAGGGGGAGAAATAGGGAAGAGATTTTATTTTTATTTTTTTAAATTGACAAATTTTTGTTGGATGGGTGCTAAATCATAAACACATCTAAATGTTAATCTAATAAGTTACCGAAAACCCAATGACCTGCTTCCCCAAGAGAGAAGTTTCTGAACGATAAAGTTCATAATGAAGAGTCAAGTGATCATCAATGTTGAAGAAGAAAAATGTAACTTATATAACAATAACAAATAGTGGATGCAAAAAAGAAAAAGGAGACACATGACCTAATTTTGGGAACAAGCCCAACATGTGGTTATGCAATTCCACCTTCATAAAGAACCACAGAAGCAGAGGAGCTGAACCAGTCAACTGGTGGCAGCAATCAACTGGACCTCACTATTCGCCGCTCGTCATCAGCCCATCATCTGCGAAACCCTTGGTTAGATTCTTGGTTTTTTTAAGAGAAATAAACTTTTCATTGATATAGTAAAAAAGAATTAAGTAAAGAACGCTGTGGCGGAAGATTATTGCCAAAAAGAATTAAGTAAAGAACGCTGTGGCCGAAGATTATTGCCGCAAACTTGGGAACTAAGTATTTTGACCTAAAACTGAATGACATATCTCTACTATCAACTAAAGGACCTTGGAAATTCATCCAGAAGCAGGGACACTCATTTTCTCAAACGTTTGCTGCAAAGTTGGAAATGGCAAAACTACTCGTGTTTGGACAGACTGCTGCATTGGTCAAAGATCTTTGATGAGAGACTATCCTTTACTTTCGCCCTAGTGTTACAAGGCTAAAACACCAAGCCACATGGAAGAATGTTTCGGTTGCTGACTTTTGGAATGGCCAAACCTAGGGAGCATCGATATGGATACAAGACACGGATATAGACACGGTGACATGCTATTTTCTGAAAATATAGGATACAGCCACAACAAGGACCCGTTTATTAGATATACAATTTTTTTAGGTATACATATTTTTTTATACCAAAACGAAATTCAAAGTCTTTCCGGAGGCTCCGGTGGAGGCCTGGCAACACCTGACTCGCTGACAACCAATGTTGACCTGCCTACCCTAATCCTCGACAAAAGGGAAAGATAAAGCTACTCACACCCTTGCTCCCTTTGACCCGCCTCCCAAAGCTATGGTACAGAAGCTTTCTTCTATACATGATAAGGAAAGCACGTGACTGTCAGGGATAAAACCCAATCCTTCACTCTCCTCCAAAGAAGGAAACCTAGTCCCTTACAAAGCAGCCCTACCACTGATGGCCTAGACGAAGTTGACTATTTCTCTAGCCTGCTTCCCGATGACAGCCCTATTCTGGCTATCTGCAACAGCCCCACCACCCTCATAATCCCCACCGTTCTTTTTGGTGATTTACCCATAACCGAGGCAGCTCCTACTAACATATCTACCCCTGTACAACACGATTCTCTTCCCAATGCTCCCCCCATTATCAACCCTCCTTCCCACCCCTCTCTTTCCCCATTGGCGGCCGACAAAACAGTACCGTCCCCCCCGTTGGCCAACTCAGCCAGCCCGGAATTTGCCGACAAAGAGCTGGCTAAAACCTTTTTTTCCCCAACCACATACAACGCTACCTAGCCAACTACCTATAGGAGTCGGGTTTATGCATCATGGCCATTCCACGGAAACAAAGACTAAAAAGCCAAACAAGAACCAAAAACCAAAATCTGGCTTACGAGAGCTCAAAAACTTAACTTCCTCCATTAACTATGAGAAACAAAAACTTAACTTCCTCCATTAACTATGAGAAAAGGAAGCTCCTGAAAGGGGACCATCCCACATTAAATGAAGATCCTCTCATGGAATGTGAGGGGCTTGGGCTCATGGAAGAAGAAGGCGGGCCCTTGTCAAGCAATCTATCTCCTGCATTAATCCTAGTGTGGTGATTCTCCAAGAAGCAAAGCTATCCCAAATCGACACTACCATTATTAAATCCCCTTGGAGCTCTCATGGGATCAATTGGGCGGCTTTAAATGTTGTGGGTTCGGCAGGTGGGATCTTTGTTCTATGGAATGACTCGATCTTCACTTCAAATGAGATCATTGAAGGTAACTTTTCCCTTTCCTTACTTTTTACTAGCTGATGGCTTCTCTTTCTGGATGTCAGGCATCTATGGCCCCTCTACATCTGAGCACCGTTCTCAATTTTGGAATGAGCTAAAAGACCTTTTCTATCTCTGCGATAATTTCTAAATCATTGCAGGAGACTTTAATGTCTCTAGATCGTCTTAGGAAAAATCCAATGGTCGGCCCCCTTACCAAAAGTATGCGGCTTTTCAATTCCTTTATTGATGAATCTGGACTTATGGATATCCCTCTCATCAATGGCAAGCACACTTGGTCCCGGAATAGCTCCCACTCTCTTATTGATCGTTTTCTCTTAACTAAAGGCTGCACTGATAAACTTGGGTTGCCCTTTGCTAAACGTTTAGATAGAACCACATCTGACCATTTCCCTATCCTCTTGGATTTCGGTCAGACAAATTGTGGCCTACTCCTTTCAGATTTTTAGAATACGTGGCTCGCATACAAATCTTTCAAGCCGTTTCTTGAGTCTTGGTGGAACAACAATCCCATCCATAGATGGCCGGGTCATAGATTGATGATGAAGCTCAAATACTTGAAGTTTGCTTTGAAGCTGTGGAACAAGGAGCATTTCGGGTGTATACATTCCCAAAAGGACAAGCTCATCAAAGCCCTGTCCTCTATAGATGAGATGGAAGGCGCTCACATCCCTTGCCCGGCCAAAAATCTAGAGCGAACTACTATCCGAGAGGATCTCCTCTCTCTAGCTGCTAAAGAAGAGATTTACTGGAGGCCGCCAAAAAGCCTCCTTTCTAGGATTCCCATTTGGTGTTGCCCCACACCATTACCGATCACCAATCTGCTTTTGTTGAAGGTAGGCAGATCCTCGACTCTTCAATCATTGCTAATGAACTTATAGATGATTGGAAAGCGAGAAAAGGAGAGGGTGTGGTTATCCAACTTGACCTTGAGAAGACTTTCGACATAGTGGATTGAGACTTTCTGGATATGGTTCTTCATTATAAAGGCTTTGGGGAGAAATGGAGGAAATGGATTCGAGCTTGCATCTCCACCACAAGCTTCTCCATCATCATCAATGAAAAACCTAGGGGCAAACTCACAACCACGAGAGGCTTAAGACAAGGGGACCCATTGTCTCCTTCCCTTTTCATCTTGATCATAGATGTTCTTAGCCGGTTACTCCTCCATGGGGAACAAACAGGCTTCCTCACAGGTTTTGTCTCTAAATGTGGCTTGGTTAATATTAACCATCTTCTTTTTGCAACTGACACCCTTTTATTTGCTAAAAAGGATCCAGCCATCACAAATCTTCACAAATTCATCAAATTCTTCAAAGTAGCCTCAGGTCTCAACATAAACTACACAAAATCCAGCGTGTATGGAGTTTCTATTAACTCGCTTGTCACGGAGCAGATTGCAAAAGAGTGGGGTTAGGCATCTGGGAGCTGGCCTAGCTCTTACCTAGGTCTCCCATTAAATGGGAATCCTAGAAAGGAGGCTTTTTGGCTGCCTATTATTGAAAGAATACAACATAGGCTTAGCAGATGGGGCAATCTCTTTATCTCCGAAGGAGGCAGGCTCACCATCCTACAATCAATCCTCACTAACCTCCCAACCTACTACCTCTCTCTCTTCAAGCTTCATGGTAAGGCAGCCGATCGTATTAGCAAAATCTTTAGAGACTTTTTGTGGGAAGGACTGAGCTTAAATGGTAAACCACATCTCATCAATTGGACCCGTACACAGCTGCCATTAAACGAAGGAGGCCTAGGTGTTGGAAATATCATTCATAAGAACCGCGCCTTATTATCCAAATGGATTTGGAGATTCACAGCTATGGAGGAGGCTCATTGCGGCTAAATACTGTGAATCTCTCTCTGTTATATGGCCACCCATCAAAAACAGTTTGCACAGGGGACCATGGACTGGAATCTACAAACAAACTAGCATCATCAAGACTTATGCTACCTGTAGAGTGGGGAAAAGAAGTCGGCTCAGCTTTTGGCACAATAAATGGCTTTCTCAAGGCTCTTTGGACAGCCTCTTCCCAAGCCTCTATGCCATTTCATCAAACAAGGAGGCCACTATCTCTGATCTATGGTCACAAACCACATCCTCCTGGGAATACAATTTCTGAAAGACATCTCAAAGAGGAGGAGTTTACTGATTGGATGGACCTCTCCCATATCCTTTCTGAAAACAAACCCACCTCCCTTGTTGACCAATGGTTTTGGCCCCTTGAAACCAATAGTACCTTCTCCACAAAATCGACCTACCGTATCCTCACCACAAACACAACCTTATCGACCACTACTCACAAACACAACCTTATCGACCACTACTCTTTTCCCTCGGATTTGGCAAGGGAGATGCCCTAGAAAAGTAAAATTTTTCTGTTGGGAGCTTAGTCATGGGTGATCAACACTCATGATAGGGTCCAAAAAAAAACTTCCATTTTATACCCTTTCCCCAAGCTGCTGCCATTTCTATATGGATGCATCAGAGACACAGGGCCACCTATTTATTCGTCGCATATATGCAAATCATTTTTGGAATTGTCTCCTTTCTACATTTGGATGGAAGACAGAACTACACAACAAACCAAAAATCTTCCTTGATCAACTTTTGGCGGGTCATCCTTTCAAGAAAGGAAAAATGATCTTGTGGATCCAGTTTGTTCGGGCTTTCCTTTGGAGTCTTTGGTTGGAAAGAAACAATAGGGTCTTCAACGACAAAGCGCTCCCTTGATAGGGTTACTACTCTAGCTCTTGGTTGGTGTAAATGTTTCTACCCCCTCAATAGCTACTCTCTAAATGAACTTATTACAAGCTATAAGGCTTTCTTGTAATTGCCCATGTGGCCTTTGGTATATTTCATACCATTAATGAAATATTTGTTTCATATAAAAAAAATCAAGTTTATGCAATTTTATGTTTAAAAAAATAAATTTGATATATTTTACTCTCAAAATTTATTATTTTGTCTTACATTACTATCTATCGATTTCTTATGCTTAAAGAGTGTTCGTTACGTATCTAACAAGTGTCGAATCTATTTTTACTTTGTCCAACAACCAATTAGACAGTAACACACATCTATTAAGCTAACAAGTGTTTGATAAGTGTCAGATTGTCAGAGTGTCCGACATTAAAACATTACCCAAAATGAAGTGTTCATGCTTCTTAGACCAAAACAAAGCTTGGAATATGGACTTTAGAAGAAATCTCAAAGAAGAAGAAATTATAGAATAGGCATCTTTATCAACCCATTTGCCTTCTTTTAATCCATCTCACAGAGGATTCTTGGATATGGAACCTTGAGAAACATGGAACTTTCAGAGTAAAGTCCTTGACACATACAACACAAACAAGATTTGACCTCCCCTACGTCTCATCTCTACAAAGGAATCTGGAAAGCATCTTATCCAAGAAGGGTTAAATTTCTAATATGGGAATTCAGCCCTTCATGCATAAACACGATCGACAAGATGCAAAGAAGATGTTTGGTGGACCATCTCTCCCTATTGGTGCCGCTTATGCAAAACAGATTTGGAGTCTCAATATCACATTTTCAAAGCAGCCTCTTGTCCTCCAAGATTTGGATCAAGGGAATGGATGTCATCAATTCTCCTTCGTCATCCTTTCAAACATGAAAAGGCTACAATCTACATTACGGCTTCACCTCAATAGATCTTTCACTTGGTCCAAAGGGAGAGAAAGAAACATTAGGATTTTTAAGGAGAAAGAAAGCTTTCCACATCACTTGATCGAGTCTATTTCTATTTTGGTATTATTCTGGTGTAAAAATGTTTCACCTTTTAACAACTATAGTTTAACTTCTCTTCTATCCAATTGGAGAAGTTCTTTTTTTTAACGCTATTGGATCTGTCTCTTATACACATCTATGAACTCCACGGCTCGAAGGTGTATTCGAAGATAGACCTAAAATCGGGGTATCACCAGATCCGAATGACCCCTGAAGATGTGCACAAAACAGCATTTTGGACACACGAGGGTCACTATGAGTTTATGGTGATGCCCTTTGGTCTCACCAATGCTCCTGCCACATTCCAAGCATTGAT